TATATATATAAATAATCATACCAAAGATCATACCTACATCTATTTATGTCGTACAATCCAACCGATATTTTAATATCCTAGCCCAAGTAAATAATCAAAAATGCACTTTATATCAAAAGCAGTAATGTTATCAAGGGTTCCAATTAATATCCAGGATTTAAAAAAAAACACGATCCTAATTCTTATTATTTTTCTAAATACGTATGTCTGATAGGCAATTGGCAAAATATAAATCTGATGTAAATAGAAAAATAAAGTAAAAACTGTAAAAACAGGTAAAAACAACAACAAAAATTCTAACCAAAGATTTAACCGTCATACGACATGAGCATCACGTGATTGCACAATACCCAACGATAGGGTACGTACCCTCTTTCATCTGATTGGACGGTTGGTTGCGTATTTTAATGTATCCTGTGGAAAAGAATAAATTCGGTAATATATCGATACTTGTGCACGTTCCTAACGACTGTTTGTCGATAGTGACATTAAAATATCGATAGTTTTCTATGGCCCTATTTCAGTGTTTTCTCCAATAAATTTAAATGTATTTGGTTTTCTCTGTCAAAACCGATGACAGAATACAAGGACATGTACGACGTACGCCCATAAACGGGCTAGAGCGAAATTTGTGTTGTTAAACGCCATTTTTTTGGACATTTTTTGGATACAAGGGATGTGTCACTAGCGTACTAGCGACAATTTTAGCGATTTTTAAGTTTGTATTTTGTCGTGTGTAGTGAATTTTGTATATTTGTACAGATTACAGATTTGTATAAACTTTATTATTTATAATGGTGGTTAGTTGTTCAGTTTTCAATTGTAAAAGACGAAGCGATAAGAAAGAGCCAGGAGTTACGTTTCACAGGTAAGTAGACAGTCCACTCTATCTTTTTAGTGTTTTCTTATTGAATTTGATAATTATTTTTCTGATATTATATGTACTTGATATATTCTATACGGCGATACTAGTTTTATATCTTTTGTTAACATTTTAATACGTTTTTTGTATAATTTAATTAGTATACCACCAATGACTAATGGGGGGTTTATACCTACAACATAGTCGTTATCATAACTTTTGAATGAAAATACAGTTTAACAATAACTTATTTTTTTTATTTCATAATTATTTTACAAGTATATATCATAATTATTTTAAACATGAAAATGAGAAAAATAAATAATGTTCCCTAACCCTAAAAATCCCCGCCGCGCATGCGATGCGATCTTCGATTTCGATTTTTGTCGTAATCACAATCAAAAGAAAATTTTACCAACTTCAAGGTTACTTTATGCTTATGATTACGACTGTGATGTATAAACGCTCCCATTTGAAATAATAGTTTTAACTTTTATGATTGTGACTATGTTGTATAAACTCTCTATATCTCTGAATAAACTCCTCATAAAGAATACAAGGACGCGTAACGCCCATATACGGGCTGCACTGCAGCAGAATTTCTGTTAGACGCCATGCCATCATTTTGGAGACTACGGATGAGTCACCAGATCGTCAACAACAATTTTAGCGATTTTTAATAGTTTGTCGTGTGTAGTGAACTTTGTATAAACTTGGTTACAATGGTGAATTGTTTAGCTTTCAAGTGTAAAAGCCGCAACGAGAGGAAAGAGCCAGGAGTTACGTTTCATAGGTAAATAAACGGTCCACTCCACCTCTAACTTTTTCCAGCTTTTTTTTATTGAATTTGATAATTATTTTTCTGTTATTATAATATTTACTTGATATGTGCTATACGTCGATACCAGTTTTGTACCTTTTGTTAACATTTTAATAAGTTTTTTTTTATAATTAATTAGTATACCACCTACATAAGGAGCATACACCATAGGCGTAGTCAAAACATTTATGAAAGATAATTAATGTATTCAGTCAGCTATGTTAAGAAAAAATATGTGGCTAGGGCCTTTGAATAAAAAGATTAAGGAAAGAGCATATCAAAAATCTTACATTGACCGCGACGAGACTCTAAAATGACCGACTTAAATTCTGCTTTATCAGTGCCTTTCTAATTTTATTCAAAACGTAAAAATATGATGTAGAGTAGACTTAATAATTTGTTGTTTTATTTTATCTTGTGAATAAATGTTGGTAGTTATTAAAGTTGTTATAAAAATATACAATTCTAATAAAAAATTATAAGTTATAATAATTATTTATTAACACAAACATCTGATATGCTACTCAAGCAGGTATGTCAAATTGACGTTGAGAAATTTGACTACTATAATAAATAACAGTCCACAAGTCCACAAATTTTCAAATCAAATTCAAATGTGTCAAGTGAATCATCACACAGGACTGTCAAGGATCCCCACCCTAGAGTCCTTTTTCTGTTCACCATGCATGAATGTCTACATTGATAGCATTATACTAAAGATTATAATTAATATTTTTATTCAAAGGGTTAGGGCACTGGTTGGAGCCTTGATAACAATTTGGTCTCAGGTGTTGTTGGTCCTTGTATTTTTTAGTCATTGGATACCACATAAATATGCAACATACACTATAGGCGTAGTCAAAACATAAAATAATATAAATATACTAGTTGAAGCCTGGCGCATCCGCCACATCAGGAAAAAAAATACTTTATTTATTTTTTTTTAATTAAATGAAAAACAAAAAATCCGGCGACGACAGTTTTTAGAAGAGCCAATTAGCTATCTTTTAGTAAAAAAGCTACTTTCTAGAGCAAGTCGTTACTTCATTAGAGACGACACAGAGATAAACATTAGCATTTTATATATGTAGATAATAATTATTTGTAACTTGCCTATTTAAATCAGAAATACACCTTTAATGTTATAAATATTTAATTAGTTGGGTTAAAAAGTTTTTATTATTAAAAAAATTGCACATATTTTAGGTTTCCTAAAGAAGATGAACGAAAAAAACGTTGGGTTTTAGCACTGAAGCTTGATAGGGATCCTACCAGACATGATAGAGTTTGTTCTAAACATTTTGAAGAAAAGTGTTTTAATACAACTAGCTCAAAGAGGTACCTACTATATGGAGCAGTGCCCACAATTTTTTCTGAACTTCCTACTATACATTTACCAAAAGACAAGAAGAAAGAAAAGAGAGAAGAGAAGGTATCTTATAAGGTAAAAATATTTTGAATAATGAAAAGACGGCCAACGGCCCAGCTACGTTGAAACACCGGTTCCCGTTAGAACACCGAATTTAAGCGCCGTAAGGCGATACTAGTGGATGGACGGGTGACCGGTTCGAAACTCTATCGTGCTGTTGTCCAAAGGCAAGAGTGTAAAATCTATTGACACACACTGCTCATTCACGCCGGTTCAAGGCCGGATGAGATCGGATATCTAGTGAGTAAGAGTCGATTTAGTCACTCGCCAAGTCGGTAGGCGATTGACCATGATATAGCCGAGGTCCGCGGTTCGGATTCCGCGTAAACAAAGTAGGCCCCGTCCAGCTTAGCCCTGGCTGCAAAAAGGAGACGTTAACTTAACAAACAAAACAAAAATAAATAATTAAAAGATGTTATATTCTTGTTTGTAAATGAAAGTGTCTATGGTTTGTAGACTTCGCGGAGGGTCTGCCATGACTAGTTCTGCACTTATAATAGATACTAAGTAATAAGCGAATGTTTGCTGCAAATTATAGTTTATATAGCAGGATTGGTAACACCACATTTACAGAAAAATATAAAGTGGGAACAATGCAAATTCCTAAATATCTCAAAAAGATCCGTGCAAATTAGGATATCCTTCAAAAGATGTAATAAGTCATCTAACTGAACCACATTTTGTAATGTTTAGTGAAAAAGTTTTAACAAAAAACGATTTCATTATGCTTCTAAAAAATAAAATTATTCGCCAAGTAATTGAGACTAATACTTTTGCCAGCTTTTGGAACATGCTTTTGAATTTATTTCTAATAGTGATGGGAATACCATTTCCACATTAGTGGTGTTACAATAGCGACCGTTCCAGAGAAATATCGCGATTTTGTAACCAATGCTCCGGCTTCCAAAGTGTCGTTGTTCCCACCTACGTGGTATTTCTGGTCACTGTACCTACCTACTCGTGTCTGCCGTTATCTTTGTGTCCGTGCAAATTCATAAACAATTACAGTTCATAAACCCCCCAAATTTGTAAACAAACAACATGCAGATGGCTAGAAGAATGTAGTTATGTTAGCTTTTAATTTTGAAAATAAAACTATTATATAAAAAATACAAAATAATATAATTTATTGGTATTCAATACTTATACATTTGTAAGATAATTATATTTTTCTAGTGTCCTGTTAAAAACTCCGTGACAATCCGATGGTTATTCTTACTTAAAACAAAGAAAATCTTTGATTCGAGATCATATTTACTAATATAAGAGGAGTCAGTGCTATCTCTTCTAGCAGCTAAGTTAAGAAAAATATGTGTAAATAATATAGATATTATATGTAAATAAAATTTGTGTCAGATTACGTTTTTCATTTCTTATTCCACCAACTTTGATATTTTTTTCACGTTTTAAAGAATCCCGTATTACGAAAAAAACTTCGTCAAATCATTTCAGAAATGACGATCAGTGAAGTTTTTTTCTCTGAGGTAATTAATTTTTTTTCGATTATATGGTATACCTCAATATGTACTACAATAAACAAAAATGCAGTTCCAAAAATAATTTACTGCCTAGTTAATCTAAGCTAAGAATAATAATTTTAAAAAAATATTTGGGAAACAAAATTCCATATTTGATTCAATTCTGCGTTTTTTATATTAACCCTCTGGCACGGCACTGTTTGGAGATATGGTAACATTGGTTTGGGGTGTTATTTGTCCTTGTATTTCATGCTTGTATTCTCTGTCATTTGTCAAAACAATGGACGATTCAGTTTTTCGTTTCCAAAATAGTTTAAATTGTTATTATAAAATAGTGTAATTGAATTTTTATAATGGTATTAATTATTTTACAGCGTTTTGTATGTGATCTTCATTTCATAATTTTTACAGGAAAAAGAAAAAACCAAGAACGAAAACATCGTATTGACGTTTTCTGCCTTGCAAGGCTCTTTAATAAAGGATAATGAAAATGTGTCGGAAAACTATGCCGTAAGCTCAGCAGATCCGGAAAAACAAGTAGAATGGTCTAATGTCGAAGCTGTATGTAGGGGTTGTCTCCATATCAAAGATCTAAAGAATATGAAGGAAACTATGGTCGGTGATTTGAATGCTATTCGGGTGTACGAGATTATCACTAAAAAACAGGTATAATTTATCCTATTTTGTTGTAGTGTTTTGAAAGATTATTTTTCAGTTGAATATGCGGATTCCCGCAATGATGTGTTTGGAGTGTGTCGAGAAATTGTCAAAAACTCATAAATTTCTATTGATGCTCGAAAGCTCGAATAAAGTGTTGGAGAATGCCTTAAATGAAATAACGAACTTAAAGAACGACATTAAGGAGGAGCTGGAAGATGAACAATTAAATGAAGATCAGTTTTTATTGGATTGCAGGTAAGTTGAAAGCACAATTTTAGGGTTTTCGTACAAGTTTTTTATGTACCTGTACAGTAGAACTTCGATAGTTCGGACACATGTCGGGACAGCCTCTGGAGGAATATTTTTATAATGATATTGTTTCATACTCTTATTGTTTCCAACCTAAACTCAAAATTAAACACATTTTCATTTAAACCAAAACGTAAAACGCTTTAAAAAAATATAGTAAAACTTCTTTTTGTTCTTATAAATTATGCTTATTGTACTTTGATGTACCTATATGCACCCATAAGATAACTAAGTTACTACTTACTACAATATCCATATTAAGTAACTACCGAGGTACTAAGGTACTAAGTGGTGAAACATGGAAAATTACATATAGATGCATTCGAGAAATAATAGAAACCAAAGGAAATAGAATGCGGGGCCTAACCGCATAGACAGCCTTCCAGCTGAAGTAATGCGCAAGCGGTTTCCAGCTGGATAGAGCGATAGAATGCGAGGAGGGTTTTTTTAGTCGGTAGGAATCCGACACTACCCAACGGTGTCTTATGCAAGATTTTTCCCCTCCTCAAAAAAAAAAAGTAACTACCGAGGTAACTATGCGCCTTAATACACATCAAATACTTATACATAATAATGTCAACAAATGTGAAATTAATATTTAATTTGAATTGAATTGTTTGATTTGAATTAATTGTTTTTTTTTAAATGAATTGTATTTTTATCCGCATCTTATCGATTTTGCTACCTCAACAGCCTTCTCTTTTACTCCTTTCATAAACAAAATATCTTTCTTGTTCTTAAGTTCATTTACAATTTTTTTATACCTGAAATATTAAATTTCGGAACAGCAAAAAATGGAATGCTACATATGGAACAGAAATGTTACATAATGTAATCCAATTTTTTATTTCTTCAGCAAGAGTCATTTAGTTGGTTCTTGGCTCTATTTCTTGGCAAACGATACTCCTGACTCCTGTACTACAAAAAAAAAGACTACATACTGCATCTAACAGTCCAAGATTGGACATAATTAATTTGTGCTTCCAATGCGGACATAATTAATTTGCCTTTGAATTTTGTTTTCATCCAGAATAAATAGGTAAAAATATCAAAATTGTCCGGTTGATAAGAGACGCGGAACTACTGGAGTGTCCGATTTGGCGCATGTTCTGAATTAGTGTTCTACTGTAGTAGATATTATTGAAATAGAGGTTATTATTATTTTAAGCGATGCCGGCGATGAAGAGTCTTCAAATGATGAAGTACCACTGTCCGAAAGGTTTAAGTCAGCTATGGGTGAAGCAGAAAGTTTTAAAAATTATGTTAGTGAAATGGTTGTTGTATCTGCAATATGTCAGATATGTTCGAAAACAGTAATGTATGTTTTTTATTTATATTGCTATAATATTTTTTTTTAAATATCTTTTAATTTTTAAGTGATTTAAATAAACATATTATTGAAAATCATCAGTTAGATAAGCCCGAAGGTATAAACGATCCAATTGAGAGTGTAAATCCTCGAAAAACTAAAGGAGTTCATAAAAGACACATTATTGATGAAGACGAGGAAGATGTAGGGATAAACTTTGAAAAGATTTTGAAATATGACAAAGAAAAAGTTAAAAAATTAAGGTGGGTGAATTGTTTTAGATAAAGAATATTTCCTGTTAAAATAAATATTTATTTTAGATCTAAGTTACTAACCATAAAAGATTCAAGAAAATTATTGCCCGATATTAAGAGAAAGGTTACAATATATCGATGTAAATACTGTATTCATTTAGAATTTCATGGTTATAAGGATATCGAAATACATTTTAAGGTAAGTTTGAAATAAATTAAAAATAAGTTTAAACAGTAGAGTTCCACTAAGTACCTTAATGTGAAATCTTGGGATGTATTTAGACTTTGTTGGTGCAGTTAGTTTTAGATTCTCTATTTTTTAGGGTTCCGTACTAGTCCAAGAAAATAGGCCTTTAAATACGAAGTTTTGTTAAAAACTTTGTAAGAATTTTTGATATAAGTTACTTTGCAAGATCTAAAAAAAATTGTAAAAGATGTTTTTTTTTTAATTCACCCCCGGGGAGGGGTGAAATAAGTAAATAAAATTATTTTTTCGAAATATCGGAGGATATTTCGAAATAAAAATTGTGGAGCGTCAAATTTTAAATTAATTAAGTTTTTAAGTTAATTTAAGTTTTAATTTTTAGTAGTAAAAAATATAAAAGTAAATTTAATATTGGGGTAATAAAGAATAATCCCACATAAAAACGTATTTTTTAACGATCTTAATAAAAATAGAAAAATCTAATGTGATTTTTATATGGTGTAAATACGGTAGCAGAGAACTAGACACGCCATAATATTATTCTTCAGAGGCTCGCGCCCTCTGTCAACAGTCAAATGCTGATAGGTGACGTCACAATTTTCTACGCCTATTTCGAACCAGTGAAATTTGTATTGAATTTAATATATTATTTATTCCTTAATTGTAACTTCATTTCATTTCTTTTTGTATTGAAGGAGTACTTTTTAATCACTTCAATTGAATTTTATATTAAAAATAACAAAAATTTACTACGGTTAAATACCGGATTGTATGGGTCACCAAATCTTTTTTTAGATTTTTTTAAACTAATTAACTCTCTAATTTGTACCGAAGAAAAAAATCTGAAAGCTGTATATCTTTAATTAAATCACAAAAAAAAACAGAGTCTTTATGCAAGGAACGGCGCGGCGCGGCGCGGCGGTCCAAATGTTGAATTGAGTTAACTGTGTCATGTGGGGTATCGTATGATAGGCTTTTATTGGTACAAGCTTACACAGATAGATTTTTTTTATTAATAAGTTAGATATTATTAATTAATTGTAACTATTAATTTTTAATTATTATCTACAAATATGTACGGAACCTTCGGTGGACGAGTCCGACTCGCACTTATCCGTTTTTTTGTCTTATGAATGGATTTACGGATTGCTCTAAACCCCCTCCCTTAATATCACGTGAGATCTTTCAAAATTTTTATTTTGAGTATAAATGCGTTGGATTTATTTAAAAAACGCAATTTGCTCTGTTATTTTTAGTAAAATTAGTAGAGACTAGTATTTAAAATTGTTTAGATCACAATCTAAAGTCACAGTGATAACATTAAATAATACTTAAATGGAACTACTAACATTATTAGGGAACATTCATTCTAATTCAGTCCATGGAGACTAGTGCACGGTCCCAAGAGTGACTGTTGGTTCCACCAACCATTGGTACCATCTTGTCCCTAATTCGTGGTACGAAAATTGTTTTTTATGACGATGAGCAAACGAGTAAATTTTCTTGTGTGCAAAAATAAACTCCCGTTTAAACAGCGTAATAACTGTGCCGGTCACAAGGCCGGTCAGGCGCTGTGCACAATTCTAGAGGCCATATGTGGGCGTGCTATGTGCGCAAACTAGTAACCTAACTAGTGCGCTCCTTCGAAAATTGGAACCACGAAAAACAATGCTTTTTACGATATAGTTTATAATCTGTATAATCTGTGTTGGTACGAACAAATCCATGTGATTTTCAGTAACATCATCTGCTCCTTCACCTGCGCTCTGATTTAGTTACTCTAAACTAGTGATGGGATAACTCGAGCGAAAATTCGCTCGGGTACTCGATTATTGAAATAACCGACATCGCTCGATTAAGAACGAGCGATGCAAGTGACGAGTACCAAGCAACTAACGCAAGCGATCCTAGTATGTAATAAATTGAAATCCGATTTTAATGTGACATACTCGATAAAAAGCTGAGCGAATTTTCTACATACATTGCAGGTAGCAAATTTATACGACGCCGTATATACCGGGTGCGTCTCAAAAGTGGCTCGCCCTTATAACTTTTTTATTTTTTTAGATAAAAAAATGAGATTTGGTATGTTAGTATATGACATAAATTAGGATTGATTGACGTATTCAATTGTCTCCTGTCACTTCCTGTTTCACCGGAAATGACTACAATTTTTGATTTTTAAATGGCACCCTCGGTATTTTTTTACTTTATTCGATAGAAAATGACATTCTAAATAGAATGACGTATCATATGTCAACTTTTGACATATTCGCTCAAAAACAAATTGTATTTTAAATTTCAATCTAGAGTGTCATCTCTGTGTTAAAAACACTAATTTTTAATCAAGGAGCCTTGGAAAAATAGATTTGATCGTCTAATCTTGTTAGTGTCTTGTCCTGGCCAGTTAAAAGATGCCCAAATCGTATTTTTGATCATGTATCAAATTTTTTCAAATGGAACGAGGGTGGCTCATTAGCATATTTCGAAAAAGAATTTTTTACGAATAATTTGATACCACACACTTGGTACTTCGAGTCAAATTGTCGTTATGAACCGCATGTTACAATTTCAAATAAACCATATGCGAAAATGTCAAAAGTTGACATGTGATATGTCATTCTATTCAGAGTGTCATTTTCTACCGAATAAAGTAAAAAAATACCGAGGGTGCCATTTAAAAATCATAAGTTGTAGTCATTTCCGGTGAAACCGGAAGTGACCGAAAACAATTGAATATGTCAATCAATCCTAATTTATGTCATATACTAACATACCAAATCTCGTTTCATTTGAAAAAATAAAAAAGTTATAGGGGTGAGCCACTTTTGAGACGCAGACGACTTTATACGACCGGTATATTTATCCGTTGCCTATCTAAGGGACAAAATTTTACGACCTACATCGACAATGCTTCGAAATAAACTAAATTACTAAATCAAGCGAATCGCTCGCTGCTTGCTACTTGCCGTTCATAACCGAAAGAATATGTGCCCTGCGCACGCAACTTACTGCTTGGCGCTTGGCGTTAACGAGTACTTACAACATGCGACGGGTGAAAACCGTATTTTTAAATACGAGTGATATATCGCTCGAGTGATCACTCGGTTATTGCAATCGCTTGATACTCGAGTACTCGATTATTGAAATTAATCGGTTTTTCCCATCACTACTCTAAACCTTTGTTACTTGTCCATAGAAGTTCAGTAGCTCGTCTCTTGTGACACTTACTGTGATTTCTGTATACTTGTGTTATTTCTATAGTTTAATATAGATTTTTTTTTATTTAGGAACAACATCCTACAGATAAGACCTGTATCATTTGCGAACAAGAATTTTCTTGTTTTTTGAACGCTTTGTACCATATGATGAAGAAACATGGAAAAATTAAATGTTGTCGACTATGTCTTGTGAGTTTCAAGACCAACGACCAGCTAATGGAACATTACAAGTCCGACGAGCATAACAAAAAATGCAAAATTTGTAATAGAGAGTATGTATATAGAGAAATCAATAAAAGTTATCGTGCACGTCATCAAAGAAATTGGCCTATAAAAAAGGCTTTATGTTGGTAGTCCTGGCAAGTGTTTTTCTTTGCAATTCTGATATGTAATTTTCGATTTTATTTTTTTTCTGTACAGGCATTTTTGTCATTTTCAGTTTTATTCTACTCTGTCTCTACTCAATTATTTTGGACAGAAAACAGTTCAGTCCGAACCTCTTTTGTCGTTAAACAGCTTTAGATAGGTAAAAATTGATATTATTGTTTAAGTTTGGCGACTTTTATTGAAAATACATACATAGATGTTTCAGGGTGTCTCACTAGCGCTCAATATTAGCTTTACGCATTGTGAGTAGAATCTCACAAAAAGAATAATCTTAACCAGTTAGAACTTTACATTTTTCAGCTCTCATTAAAAAAATTGCTAATAACTCCATTTAATTAGAATTTGTGTAATAATCATAGACAAAGTAATAATGTAGATATAAAAAGAACATTTTTATATCTATTGTGTCTAAAATTGAAGTGAAAAATTGCTGAAAAAATTAAGAATTTTATTTGACACTTGTCAAAAGTCAAAGTAAAAAAAATAACTATGGCAACATTGCGACGTACATTCGTCAGATATTTTGATGACGTGCATCCCAACTTTTAGTGGTTTTTCTACATTTATGTTGATATCCTTTATAAGGAATATTACTTTAATTATTATAATGATATTGTAGGTTTAAAAACCGAAAAATGTTATACGATCATCGAAGGAAATACCATCTCAACCCAGAATTGATAAATAAGAAATATAAATGTCCAAAATGTCCGAAAGAATTTGCAAATCACAACAATATCAGGCGACACATTTTATGCTTCCACAATATGGTTCGGTATTTGTGCGATACTTGTGGTCAAAGTAAGTGATAATTCGAATATAAATTAAATACGTGGTGTGACAAAAAGTAAATGGAAAATACAGGGTATTTCAAATTCCGCTCTCATCTTTGGGATCTCAGAAAACAGGGTGGCTTAAATTGGGGTAAAGAGGCCTGTTGGTCAGACCAATGAAATTTCCGAAATATTATATTTGTGAAAAAACTGGAATTTCTGATTTTTGTGTTGATTTTTTTCGCGTTTATTTTGACAGTTAGAAAAAAATGTACAAATGCATTCTCAAAGAAACTTTTTTAGCTTATCCTTTAGTGACGTCAAAAATCACTTGAGACGTTTCGTTTTCCTGGGACCATCATTAACTTTGTTTTTTTTTAAATAGAGACCTGGGTTTTTTATTTCATTTTTTAGTTGGTTTGATTTGGTTTAAGCACCCTTGATATCTATTGTATTTTTTAGGCTATACGACAAATCGAAATTTAAGATTCCACATACTGAAATTCCACCAAGGTCAGGAGGTGGAAGTGAAAACCACGAGGAAAAACTACTTTTGCGAGACTTGCGGTCGTGAATTGAAGATTTTCCACAAATATGCCATTGCTCAACACACGGCTAAACACAAAGGACACAACTACGTTTGCAGAAGGTAAATTTTACGTTTGTTCCAACATAGCCGAGAACCGTTCTTGGTACGGTTACACATATGCGCAGTAGAGAAAACGCGTTCCATCAACGAGAGAATCGTTTAGCTAACGATAACTTTTGCGTTCCAACCAGAATTGTAATCGTTTTGTGAACTGTATTTAGAACTATCCCGGAATATTGATTTCTTTATAGAAATCTTGTCTTGAATTAACTCGGTTTTAGATGTCACGAATCTTTTGAAACTGAGCAAGAATTTGAAGCGCACGTGGAACAAGAAGGACATCAGTTGCTTAAATGTCCTCACTGTAACGCGGAGTTTGTGAGAGAAGAAAGCTTTAACACCCACTTGAAGAACCACGATGCGCCTGGATGGAATAAGAACTATTTCGTTCGTTACAATAAAAAAACCAGCCAGAGCAGAAATCTAAATGGTAGGTTAGAATAAAAGGCATTTTATAGAGTCTGTACAACAACAAAATCCTTGACAGTCATAGTTGTGTCTGTCATTTTAATTTCAAAGTAGTTTATTTTAATTTTACAAAGAAATAACTTGGTACAAATGGAATGGAAAGTGTGAGTTGAATAGTTAATTTTAATCTTATTATTTTAAAGCAGTACCTTTTGACCATATCTCTATACAGTGCTAAAGGATATTTACCTATCGTGTTATATGATAGATATATATATATAGATAACTATATATGAGATGGTATACAAATTTTATTGGCTGCCAATACAACTCTTTGAGGCTACACTTACTTTTCCTTCAATTTTTCCTCCATTTAACTTCAGACACAAAACAAGTAATAACACAAAAGAAATGTCATCAATCGTCATTTCCAGCCAAATGGGCGACGGTTTTTTCGGTTATATGGTATTTTCTATGCAAAACATCAATGTTTTGCATAGAAATAATCATCAATGATTATATCGATGAATTTTATAAAATAATCGATTTTTTGTCATCGTCCCTACATTCTAAATTTTATTTACAAAACGATTCAGACCATAACCAAGAATTTCATTTGTCGAAACAAATAAACTCTATTATATTTTTGGTACCTATATTATGATTGTCGTATAATGGACTAAATATTTTTGATAAGAAAGTCGAGTAAGTGTGAGTCACTAGCAAGAAATTTCCTTTGGCAGTTACAGAATCCCACTGAAGAACTGGTTATTTGACATTAATTGACACAAATAGGCTATAATTTGAAGAAAAAATCTTTATTAAACTTTGACAAAAGCGTGACACGCAAAGAACCTGATAACCACCAACCGTCCAGTGCTCTCCTGTAAAATTAGTAAAATGGCATTATCATGTTTTTCCCCTGAACCCTTCATATAAACCCATCCATAGTTAGCTTAAAAAATAGAAACTTTTTACTAAAATTAAATGGATTGGTATGGGCGTCGTCTGCCTTAAAAATCTTACCTGAGAAAAAAACAGAGTATACCGTTAAAACTAAAAGATTTCGACAGACGATGACAGAAAAAAAGCAGATGACGTCCATACCAATCCATTTATTTCACTAAAAAATGTTTCTAATATTTTTTAAGTTAACTATGAATGGGTTTATATTATATACAGGGTATCCCAGGCTGAGCGTGCATTAGAAGTTTCTAGAGAACCACAATATCTAGATCGGAGATTTTTTGCACATCACTGTTTTACAACGAGATCTATCGATTAAAAATATTTTCAATATGGCGGCACTTCCGGAAATACCGGAAGTTGACAGCAACTTTCTTATTTTAAATGGGTACCCCAATATTTTATTACATATTTAAATTCTCTGTAAAATTTTATGAATTTTGATATTAAACACTCTGTACCTAACATTAACCGTTTTTGAGAAAAAAAAATATTTAAAATATTTGGACCAAAAAAAACTAACTGTCAAAAAAATTTGTATAACATAAAAGTCAAATTTAGTGATTACCACAGACACTGTGACATAATGAGAGGACATGTGGTTATCTATTTCAAAAATTATATTGTTCAAATGTCATATAATAAGGGCGGTAGCTGTCATGGAGTTGAACGATTAAAAAATTATCATAAATCATTTTTTTTCAAATGGAAACCCACTTTTTTATTTCACTAGTGCAAAAGTTTTCCAATTCATTACATTTTGAGTATACATGTTCCTATACCTAAAATAAATCGTTTTTAAGTTAAATAAGATTTAGTTTGAAAACATATATTTTTCTTGATTTTGTCAAGCTTGACATTAAGTGTCAAAGAGTATCAAAAAGTATCACAATATGACATGGCCAGATCTATTGTGTTACATCACTTGACGGTTCAAGTCATAGGCTACTGGTTAAAATCAAGAAAAATATACGCTTTAAAACTAAATCTTAAATAACTAAAAAACGATTTATTTTAGGTATAGGAACATGTATAGTAAAAAAGTAACAAATTGTAAACCCTTTTCACTAGTCAAATAAAAAAAAGTGGGTTTCCATTTGAAAAAAATGATTTATGATAATTTTTTAATCGCTCAATTCCATGACAGCTGCGGTCATTATTATATGACATTCGAACAATTTCATTTTTGAAATAGATAGCCACATGTCTTCTTTTTATGTCACAGTGACTGTGGTAATCACTAAATTTGACGTTTAGGATATACACATATTTTTGACAAGCAGTTTTTTTCCTTCTAAAATTTTTAATTTTTTTTTTCTCAAAAACGGTTAATGTTAGGTATAGAGTGTTTAATATCAATATTCATACAATTCTACAGAGAATTGAAATATGTAATAAAAAATGGGGGTACCCATTTAAAATAAGAAAGTTAGTGCCAACTTTCGGTATTTCTGGAAGTGCCGCCATATTGAAAATATTTTTAATCGATAGATCTCGTTGTAAAACAATGATATGCAAAAAATCTCCGGTCTAGATGTTGTAGTTCTCTAGAAACTTCTAACGCACGCTCAGCCTGGGACACCCTGTATAAATCCGTCATGCGTCGTCTCTTGTTTTTAACCAGTTTTATTGGTTTATTTAAAAAAAGACAGATCATATTTCAATATTATTGGTTTGACGGAACGATGAACGACAAACGGACGCCGATGCGTATGAAGACCTAAGATTTTTGAGAGTTGTCAAACTCTAGCGAAATTATAGGTTATAATTTTCTGTCAAATTATGTCAAATAGAAATGATAAATATTTTGCATTTTGGACTGTTATTACGTGTGTTTCGTGTTTTTAAAATTAAGTGGAGGAAAACTCGAGGGAAAATTAAGCGTTGATCCAGACCATAGTTTGCAGTCAATATTCGGTGCCCAGAGACACAATTTCCCAGAAAATTGTATTAGCCACAAATAAAGTTTGTATATTATCTCGTATATGGTACCAAAAAGTAGAGTATCTGTAAAATAACATCATACACGATAGGTAAATAATACATTTTAGTACTGCAGAGACAGTTATGTTTCTCTTTTTTCGCAATATTTTGAAATAATCACTCACTTGTCACTCAAATTTTAAATATTTTAATTTTTGCTATGCGTTCCAAATGTATCAACTTATTTCTTTGTAAAATAAAATAAACTACTTTGAAATTAAAATGACAGACCCATCTATCATTGTCAAGGATCTTGTCATTGGACAGACACTTTGTACAGCCATCATTCATATATTGTCATACTTCTAGTGTAAATTAACATTGAAAACAATATTTTAGGTGAATTTGAGTGCAGCTACTGTTCAAAGTCCTTTAAAATTAAACAGAGATTGGATAACCATATCAGAGTACACACAAACGAGAGACCTTACAAGTGCGACTACTGTTCGAAGGCTTTCAAAACATGGATACACCGAAAAACGCATCTCGCTGTTCATTTAGGTAATAAAACTTAATATACTGTATTAAATTTTAACTTTATATATGGACCTGCAACAGTGCGTCGGGCATCCTCCTGGCATCATCCTGTGTCGTGTAACTCCTGTAATTAAAAACTTAAGAATCTTTTTTGTTTAAGCGCAAACCTAAAGTATGTACTAGGATGTATTTCAGAAAAATATATCAACTTCTACAGGGTGACTCAAAAAAGTGTGAGTGGAACAGGAGAATTTTTTTTAAGGAGCACCCTGTATATTATTGCATTTTTGGCTTTTTTTCTGATCACTTTACATAATCCTAAGATGTTATAAAATATGTGTTGAGAGTTTCTGAGATATTAATATATAAAAAATATATATTTTTCAGCTTTTTTTAAAAAAGTTATTAAAAATATGGTGCCCGGTGGCGTAGAGGTACAGCTCTCGTCTACCAATATAAAGGTTGTGAGTTCGAATCCTACAGCCGGCATTTCATCAGCCGACTATTTTTAATGAAATAAAAATAGTTTGGGTACCTAGGTCGACTCAGCCTTAAATGAGTACTTCGTATTCACAATCCTGAGGTAATAATAGGCGGTTGAAGCGTAGTGCTAGCCACATTACCTTCCTTGTACAGGGTGGGTCAAATTCGACGCTTTTAAATGGAAACACCCTTTTCTATAGGAGATAGACTAAAACTAATATCGATGTCTGGAGCTCAATTTTTGTCAAAAACATGATGGTGAAAACCGCATATCGATGTCGGTTACCGTTTCGGAGTTACGGGGTGTTTTTCAAAAATATGCATTTTTAACAAATCGCTGTAACTCTTTTGCTATGGAAAATTTTGTATTTTTATGAAAACATTTCCAAAGCACCTTTTTACGTAGAATTTAATGGTTTAAGTATAATTTTTCTAAAATTAATATTTTAAGAATTATCAACAAAAATTTGATTTTTTATATGGGACACCCTGTATATTTTTAATTTATTGAAAAGAATTTAAAATTACCTTTCCAAAAATATAACATACTTAATATTTTGCTCGATTCCTCTTCGAGATATAGAGTATATAAAAATTCGCCCGCTTTAAATAAGTAGGCTTTGAACGGCACCGGCTGTAATGCAAAAAATTCTAGCTGTGAGCATCAATTAAAACGAAAATAATATTTGCTATGAGAGATGCAGAATTTTATAACAATTTAAAACATGTTTAACCAACATCAACACATTTAAACTATATCTAATAACATTAAAAATAAATAGAAAACCAAGACATGAGATTTTGCTATAGGTGTTCAACATATCGACCGTCTTCTGTTATGGACAGACGGGGCAGTTTTTGAACATTTCTCGCGAAATTCATTAACTCAGTGGGGGTGAAAGATACCCTCTCATAACTGCTAAGTATTTCGAATTCTTGTCTAGATTATACGGAAGAATAAGGAACCTTTTTTTCGCAAATATATCAATAGGATTAGATCCATGGGCACTAAGTTAGGCGGCCTCGACGGCCAACGGCTGGGATCTTGGTTAGCTATTCAAATATTCTTGAAATTGGCTGCAAAAATTTGCTAATAACTTCAGCGTTCAGAGCCGGTGCGTCGTCTTGCTGGAAAAATATGTCTTCGAGTTCCGTTAGAGGTATATCATCAACAAGGGGTCCAAAGCCTACTAGTTAAAAGTGGCGAACTTTTAAAAATTCTGTATTTCTAAGAGGATTATAACAAAATATCAAGTGTGCTATATTTTTGGAAAGGTAATTTTAAATTCTTTTCAGTTAATTAAAAATATGGAGGGTGTCCCAAATAAAAAATCAATTTTTCTGTTGATAATTCTTAAAATATTAATTTTAGAAAAAATATACTTAAACCATTAAATTCTACGTAAAAAGGTGCTTTGGAAATGTTTTCATAGAAATACAAAATTTTCCATAGTAAAAAAGTTACAGCGATTTGTTAAAAATGCACAGTTTTGAAAAACACCCCGTAACTCCGAAACGGTAACAGATATTGATGTGCAGTTTTCACCATCATGTTTTTGATGAAAATTGAGCTCCAGACACCGATATTAGTTTTCGTCTATCTCCTATAGAAAAGGGTGTTTCCATTTAAAAGCGTCGAATTTGACCCACCCTGTACATATACCAAACAGCTATTCCAATCTTGCTACTCCCAAGGCGTTAAACGCTATATACAGAAGCTATTATTATTATTATATTAAAAATACAAGAAATGTCCTGAAGTAAAAACTATACTAAATATGTACTATAGTTGGTCTGTACTTACATGGCTATAAAGATCGTAATCCTAAATCATACAGGGTGTTCCAAGTTTTTTAGTTTACTCCAAACTTTCTAAACCATAATATAATTTTCCTTCGATTTTTTAAATATAACACCCTGTATATTTTTTTTTTGTTAGAATGAGAATTAAAAAATGTAAATTTTTTGTATTTAAAGAATTTAACATTTTTAAAGGTTCACAGATATTCAAGGTATTATTTATTATTTTACATATGGTTTTTTTCACTGTAATTTTTTATCAAAGCCACCTAATGTTTTTTGTCTGGTATTTTACAGTTGATAGAGCCATTTAAATATGAAATATAAAATTAAATATAATAATAAACACATTTAAATTTAATATTTTCTATTCACTTTTATAACATTTCTTTTTATTATCAGGTATAAAGAACTATCAATGTCGTTTCTGCTCGAAAGCCTTTACATATGCCAGCACATTAAGAGGCCACGAAATGATACACACGGGTGAAAGACCAAGCACGTGCCCGGAATGCAAAAAAGGCTTTATATCGACGTCGGCTATGAAGAAACATCTGATGACGCATTTCCGCGGAAGACACGCGAACAAGAGTGCAGTGTTAGACATTCAAAAGAAGGAAGAGCCAGATATGGAAATATCATATATAGATAATGAAATATACATGGAAAGTGGTACAAATGAAAAACAATTCGTGAAGAAAAATCAAGTGTGAATAAAATTATACATTCCTATTTTAGGCAACTTAAAATGGATTGCTTTTTTAAGTTGTCATTTTGTTGTAAAAAATGTAGATTTTAGGTTATTTTTTAAAACCTTTTTTTATGTAGTATACAATGAAATTAGTATATACTGAGTGACACACCTCACAACCTATTTACAGGTTTTTCAGTCTAAAAAAGATGCGATTCCTCATATTGTCAGTGAAACGTGTTAACCTGTTAACCTGCTAACTCTTTTACGTTAATTAAATAATAGTACGTTTAATACATAATTTTTAACGAATTATTGAGTTTTATTGGTCCCCAACAAGTATTGTTATCGAATGTAATACCAGAAGATGTTTCGGGATTACCGAATAATACTTTTACCTGACACGAAATGCGTTACCCGGCAACACTACGACTCCGAAGGAGTAGTTTTGCCGGTATCGCATTGAGTGTCAGGCAAAAGTACTAGGTTATCCCGAAACATCGAGTTGTATTCATTCAAAAGATTATACAACGAAATAAAGTACTATATCCTTCTTCTCTGAAACATTTTTATTATAATAATTTTTTTTATTATAATAATTATTAAAAAATTTTACCAAATCTTTCTTTTGCCATCTTGTAATAAGAATTGACGGGATATTTTGTGGAACTGACAGAAATGACTTCTGAATCAATATTTCAAAAAATGACAATTACAATATGGCCACCAAGCAATAATCACTTAAATTATTATCACTTATTAATCACAGCCTTCTATATAGGAAAAATATACATCGAGTTGTATAATCATATATTATATCACGAGACCTATAAATTTAATCGATTAAACTATTCAAATATATTTTGTGCCTGATTTTGCTTGGAAAATAGTTGAATGGCATAATAATTTAATAAAAACCAGAGACCGCGAAGCGGTCGAGGGTTTTTATTTTAAAATTATTGTGCATGAAACTATTTTCTAAAAAGCAAAATCATGCAAAAAATTATTTGGGTAGTTTAATCAATTAAATTTATAGGTTGAGTGATATACGGCTTGATTATTTCCTGAATGACTTAGAATGAAGCAAATAACTATAAGAATTTTATTAACATAAAATTTAACATTTTCGGACATTTTTTTTTACAAACAATTCATTTTCACTACAGCGGTAAATAAAATTTAAAGACGTTTCAAAATGACGTCTCGTAAGTAATGTTCAGTTTGCGCTTCTGCTACCTTGGTTACGCATCCCAACAATGCATCAAGGACCGTTTCGCATGTCAACATATCAAATTCTGACGTATTTTTCTCCACTTATTTGTTCAAAATAATGTCGAATAAGGGGTTTTCACGGATTAAAATCGTTATTAAGTCATACATATGAGTTGTAAATCAATGTTTTTAAATAAACTGTTGCCAAAATCTCTCAGAATTAGTGGTAAACGACAAAAAGAAAACCCAAAAGGAAGCCGAAAAAATAATCGCGTTAAACTGGTCTTGGGATTTAATCACTTATCTAAACAAAATTTATTCGAAAAATTAGATTAGCTGATTGGTCCATTTCACGATGAGGGAAATAATCGCATGAATATTAGGGTGGGTAAAAAAAGTCGACTATTTTTTTTCACTTTACACTCTGAAAAAAAGATTGGTAGGCACCTCAAAAAATTCTCTCCAAATATGAACTAATTTTAATAGGAAGGTCCTTCGCTTTTAATTTATTCTATTTTTTGCTTATTAGAAAAAATCGTATCTCTTCTAATTTATTTGATGAGTTTCGGGAAAATTTCTGTATTATAAACTGGAGATATAATTGGATTGGAATTGTTACAATCATTAATCAAAAACTGTTAAAATTATTGTGCATTAAAGTTTGACAATGAACATCTTTTAAACAGTTAATTTAATCGACTATTAAGTAACGAGTTAATAATTTTAAATTTTATAAGTTTGTTAATTCATAAGAAAACGAATCTGCCTCAAAATAATCAACTTAGTAGATACCGAGGTCTGAATTTTTCTTTCTGATAAGGAAAAAATAGAAAACTGAAAGGCGGAGGACCTTCCTATTAAAATTACGAGCTCATAGTTGGAGAGAATTTTTTTGAGGTGTCTACCGATCTTTTTTTCAGTGTATAAAGTGAAAAAAACAGTCGATTTTTTGACCCATCCTAATGAATATACTTGCTACATGTTGACATATTTTTTGTGCCCTTTTTAGCTCTCCTGTAAAGTTAGGAATAATGGAGTTCGCTCTTTAACACATTTCACCGATGATATGTTTTTAAGAAAAAAGTTTTTATACACATGCAGTCGAAAGTACTTCCTTTTTGATCTACAGAGTATTAAAAATTTTAAAAATCGAATTTAATAATTAATTTTTTTCTTGATTGACAAAACGTTTTTAACAAAATTGATTTCTTGAGTTTTATTTGTGTTTTGAGGAGTATGTAGTATGTGTATATAATGTAGTTTTTTTCTCTCAAAAACCGTTCGACGTACAAGAAAAAATCAAGAGTTAATTCTTGTTAAAAAAGCATGGACAATCAAGAAAAAAAAACGAATTTTCTCGAAAAATACAACAGTGACGTACAATTTATTTTAATTATATAATTCAGGGGTGTGTGCCTACGGACGCCACTGGTTCAAGTAGGAAAACGGCAGTTAATGGAAAAAAAATTTATACCTGGAAACCGCATACCAAAATTGAAGAAAATATTTTTTATTCAAGGCAAGATAAGGCGGACAACAAAAAATTATGGAATTCTGATAAACATATGGGTATAGGTGTTTTCCTTTTTTTTGTCACTCAGTATAATTAAGTGTAACTAAATAAAATCATACAAAAACATGTAGGTATTTTGTTTGAACTTAATATATTACAAATATTTTATTGAAGTAAATTTTACAGAGATCTCTTAAAAATTAGTTTCTTTTCTGTTTTGTTACTCTAAAATACAAGGGTGGCCTCATTATACAGGGTGTGCCAAAAAATTGACAACAAAGGGGAAAATTGTTAACTGATTTTTTAAAAGAAATTTATATAGAATTAATTCAGTATGTCCAATAACAAAAATAAAATTTTGACACATCATAGAACAACTATCATTGGAGGAAATCACAAAATTCTTTCAATATGAAAAAAAAACGAGTTTTGTGACAAAATAGATTCCCGTTTAAGGTGAGCTTTTTGACACACCCTGTATAAATTTTTGCAAATAAACTTTCTTAGAGAGTCTTTGTGCTATGAAAAGTGCCACCCTGTCTAGGGTGAGGTGTAGAAAGTATGTTCCCGAACTTGTCTTTAAGAAAATGAAAAACTTTATTAATTTGTGAGAAAAATACATTATTCATAAAATTTTTTGCTTCTTCTAAAATGATTAATCCCCTTTATACTATCCCAAATTTCCTTACCATTTTTTGGCTTGACTTGCCTGCTGTTTATTATTTATAGTATAACTTTGACGCTATACAGGATGTCCCAGCCTGAGCGCGCCTTAGAAGTTTCTAGAGAACTACAATATCTAGATAGGATGTTTTTTTGTTCATCATTGTTTCACAATGAGATCTATTGATTAAAAATATTTTCAATTTGGCGGCAGCACTTCCGGAAATACCCAAAGTTGACAGCAACTTTCTTATTTTAAATGGATACCGTCATTTTATATGCTTAAATTCTCTGTAAAATTATATGAATTTTGATATCAAATACTCTATACTTAACATTAACCGTTTGAGAAAAAAAATATTTAAAATCTTTGGAAAAAAAACTCCCTGTAAAAAAAATTGTATAGCCTAAACGTCAAATTTAGTGATTACCACAGTCACTGGGACATAAAGAGAAGACATGTGGCTATCTATTTCAAAAATTAAATTGTTTCTATGTCATATAATATTGGCCGTAGCTGTCATGGAATTGAGAGATTAAAAAATTAGCATAATTAATTTCTTTGAAATGGAAACCCACTTTTTTTATTTCAGGAGTGAAAAGTTTTTTCAATTTATTACTTTTTGATTATATGTTCCTATACCTAAAATAAATCGTTTTTTAGTTATTTAAGATTTTTTTACTTTTTGATTATATGTTCCTATACCTAAAATAAATCGTTTTTTAGTTATTTAAGATTTAGTTTTAAAGCATATTTTTTCTTGATTTTATCTAGCTTCCTTTGACATTAAATGTCAAATCATCAGACAGTTTATTTCCTTTTGCCAAAAAACTAATTATTCGAATTTTGTATATTATAAATACTGCTGCTAAAACTTTATAAAGTGAATTTAATTATATAAATAATAATACATCTCTAATTTAAGTGATATCTAATGGCAATATGACATGGCCAGATATGGTTTTACATCACTTGATGTTTAAAGTCATAGGCTACTGGTTAAAAACCATCTATCCAATAAAAATGAAGTTATATTACCACAGAAATGCTTTTATTTTTAGGACTCCCAACTGTATTATGTTATTTTTTTTTATTTTTCTCTAAAATGATATGGAAATTTGAAGAATTATAAACGGGATTAACCATTTTAGAACAAGGAACTTTTTTTATGGAGAATGCATTTTTCCAGGAAGTTAATAATAAAAAAGATTTTCCTCTTGTAAAGACATACCATATATCGATAATATTACTGTTTAGGATCAATATTAAGCTTAACCCATTTTGACACCTCACTTTTTTTCAAGTAACTTTCAGTCCCTTGCACTTAATAACTTATTTTTTACACAGTTTCTTGTTGAATTTAACTCGAGTGTTGGCTGGGAGTTAGCCCGCCCCCACTGTGCTCCGGACTGTGTTTCTGTTTCTTTCTTTTCTTCTCCTTTTTCCTCTTCTTCCTCTCTTTGTCCTCGTCGTGCCTCTTTTGTTTTTTGTGCTTCTTCTCGTGGGTATCGCCGCCCGCGTCCGTTATCGGAGTTTCTGTCGATGGAGGTCCGCCCTCTTTGTGTTTGTGCTTTTTATGTTTGTTTTGTGCTTCTTTATCGGTGTGGCGTGGCGTATCGGTACTGTTCAGGTAACTACAAAGAGAATTTATTAGGATTTCAATAATACAGGGTGGCGCCTCTCATATGACGCGGACGCTCCACAGAGAACAACAGTTTGTATTGAAAATTTTGTGAGCATATGTAGCATAGTTTAGAGCATTTTTAAAGAATGCTCTAAATTAACATAAATAAGCTTGCCAAATTTCATTTCAATACAAACTACCGTTCTCTTTGCCATCCTGTATAATAAAGTGTAAAAAAAGGTACATACTGGACCAGGATGTAATCTGAATCCTTCTAGTTGTGCACTACTTAATGGTAA